TTCTCAAAAGAAGAAATTCAACTGGCCAAAAAGTACATGAAAAAGGTATTTTCTTTGGCTCATGGTTTCAGAGCTTCCAGTCCACCATCAATTGGTCCTGCTGCTTTGGACCTGTGGTGAGGCAGCACAGGTGGGAGTGTGTGCTAGAGCAAAGCGTTCACCTTGTGGTCAGGAATGAAAGAGAAAACAGAAACTGTGGGTCCAACAGCCCCAGTGACCTGAAACTTCCCACTAGGCACCATCTCTAAAAGTGTCTACTTCCTCCCAAAAAAGCATCATGCAAAGGACTAAGCCTTTTAGCACATGGGCATTTGGGAAACATTTGAGATCTATAGCACTGACCATGCTGCAAAAAGCATCCTGCAAGGTGATATATTCATCTAGATGCATATGTGCCTATATATGTGATTGCATATAGTTATGTATTATGTGTGAGTTAGATATGTATAAATGTGTGTGCAAACTTGTTTATCTGTAGGATAATTCCTAGAAGAGAAATGTGTGGGTCAAATATATTTGGTCTTACATTCTGATGGATGCTTCCAAATTTTCCTCTAAGTTTTGCTTCCAGTAAAGTATTGGAGTGCTTGTACCTTGCCATTCATACAAACTAATCATTATCTACTGCTTTGATTTTTCCATATGAAAGATATTGTCTTAGCTGGGTGGTAATGAAATCCATTTCTTCCAAGTCTTGTGTGCTTTTTTTCTCTCTTTTCTTTTTTTGAGAAAGTCTCCCTGTATACACAAGGCTGTCCTGGAACTCACTATGTGGCATCAAACTTGTGATCCTTCTGCCTCAGCTTCCCACTTGCTGCGATTACAGGCATGTACCACCATGCCTGCTGCCTTTTGTTTTGATTATTGCTGTGCTAATAGTCTTATCCTCAAGAGACCTGCCTCTTGTCAGCAGAGAGGCTGATCACAGGGTAACTACCTAGATCTTTGGGAAACTTGCCTAATTCTTGATTGAAATCTGTCACAGAAAAAAAACCTTTAAAATCTAAATTGCACAGCTGACCTTATTGCTATAAGGATGTTTTCTATGGATTACAGATATTTTAGCAGGAAGCTAGTGGCATAGCATAGCCACAGAAAAATAACTGAAAACAGAACGTATTTTCAGGCATGATACTTTTATGTTATTTGCTATATGTTCTGAGCAATGAGATCAAATAGAGTCTTCAAAATTACTTGAATATCACAAACATTTCTGAAATTTTTATAAGTTAATGAGAAAATATGTGTTCATTCAAGATGATCTTAGAATTATTTAAAAGTTGTAGCAAGTTGGCTTCTTAAGGTTATTGTGGAAGTTTTAAAAATTATTATTTTTGTTGTATGAATATATGGGATACAGTGTGATAATTTGATACATGTATACAACATAAAATTACCTAATGAGGGTAGTTAGTATTTCCATCACCTTAAACAGTAAAAACATTTTTGATTGACACATAATAATTGTATATGTCATTGGAGTACAGTGTGATATTTCAATATACGTGTACAATGTGTACACGTGATTAAAACAGGATAATTAATGTTTATATTTTTATCATTATTTTATGTTTGGAGTCTTTGAGCTCATCAAATATAAGTTTATGGGGGGAGTAGAATTCTGCCACCTTAGAAGAGAAATTTATATTAAATGCTTATTTGTTAAAAACATTAATGTTTCTATTTGCTCCTGATCCCTTCACCATCTCCCCCCCTTTTTTTTCCTGTAAGTCTCTGCTCCATTCATCCCCCAAGAAAGAAGTGTACATATTTTAAAGAGGAAGCCTCTTTCTTGTGCCCATAATGGGCTAATTGCCAAAGCGGTTGGCCACCTGTGGGAGTAATTAGTCACTTGTCAGTCGTTCTGAGGTTACTCAATTGGAATTGCAATTTATTGTACATACAGCTTGCATCCACAAATAATTATGGCTGTTAAAATCATCCATAGAACGAGGAAGCAGTGGGCAAAGGCTTTACAACACTGGCATATGGCTTCACATTTGTGAATGAAGTTTGAGTAACATTAAGTGCTATTCATTATGCTAATCCAGAGAAATTGGAGTTAAGGATACTGATTAAAAAGTATTCCTAAATTATTCTACATTGTGGGGTGAGCAGGAAACACAATCATGTTATCTTCATAATTTTACTTGATAAACTAAAAATATTAACATTTTGTTCTTCTATGGTACAGATGTTTGTAATGTAAAGTTAATCACTTTCTAGTTAAGGTAATAGTGATTCACTTTTTTTTTTTTGGTGGGACTGGCATTTGAACTCAGGGTTTCATACTTGCAAAGCAGGCACTCTACCACTTGAGCCACGCCTACAGTCAAGTTAAGATAATTGTGATGAGAACTTTGTTCTCATATGTGGGCAGCAATGTTATAGCAGCCATCTTGGTTAACCCTTCTGTGGTTACTGTGGCACATTGTTTTTCATTTCATCCATAAAAGGCATTCCCCATTTGATTAATTGAACTTAATATACTGATCAATGTCTGCAATATGTCAGTCATGATGCCAGGAAGTAAAGAGCTTTTAAAAAGAGGACCAAAAGATAATCTGTGGAATTTATCCTCTCTCTCTCTCTCTCTCTCTCAGTGTGTGTGTGTGTGTGTGTGTGTGTGTGTGTGTGTGTGTGTGTGTGTGTGTGTTAGGAACAGGAGTATAACTAGCAAGTAAATACATTAGGATTATCTTGGAACAAGAAATACAGAACTTCACCCAAGTTGCTTTAAGCAATAAAGGGTATTTATTAGCTATTGAAAATTCTTTTTAAAAATAGGGCAAATTAGCTATTGAAATTAAAAAAAAAAACTAGGGCAAAATAAATGTGAGACTTTTTCCAATAGCTCAACAATATCACCAAGGACCCAGTTTTTTTTACATTTTGCTTCTTGGCTGTCTATAGGGCCTGCTTCATCCTAAGGCTGGATCCCATCATGGCTATTGCAGAGAAGGGTCATTTTTCCTGAAGTGCTCATATGTCATTAGCTGAGACTGGGTCACATACTCTTCCCCAAAGGAATCACTGTGCTAAAGGAATGGCATTCACAAATACCTTAAAAACCAATGGCCCACTTCTAGAAACAACATGGGTGGGACATGTGACAGCTCTGTTGGTAGGGGGAGGGAGGGGATGAACAGCAGGAACAACTACCTGCCACATCAAATAGCAGTAATCAAAATGCTTCCATAAGGTTAGAGACATAGTACCATGTGGAGTGGGCTTCTTGTGAATTCATAGTATTTCTACAATAGTTGTAAGGGCCATTGAAGTTCATTTTTCTAGGATACTAAAGAAAAGGAACATAAGTGAAGGGCTGTATAGCTTATCATGTTACTAGGAAATCTGTGGCCATGTACCTTATCAGTTAGCTTGTGAAGGCTTTGCTTGACTTCCAGAATATGACCTTTACTTCACTAAGAGAAATAACTCAGAGAACTTCAGTGGGCAATGTGAGAATAGAAAATAGGTATGAATACATATATGTATACAGTTGATCTTCATTATTCACAGATTTCATATTTGTGAACTCATTTACTTGCTAAAATTTATTTATAATGACAAAATCAATACTTGGGGGTGTTTCTTGGTTATTTGTAGACATGTACAGAATGATAAAAGTTTTGAATCATCTGATGTTGAACAAGATAGTTCTTTGTTGTCTTGTTTCAGTTCTCATACTGAAAAGTGTCCTTTTCACAAATTCTGTGGTGCCACATTTTATGCTTTTTTTGTTCATATTTCACTGTTTAAAATGCTGAAGCTGGGTATCAGTGGCTCACACATATAATCTAAGCTACTCAGAGATCAGGAGGATTGAAGTTAGAGGCCAGCCCAGGCAAATAGTTTGAGAGACCCTATCTCCAAAAACCCAACACAAAAAAGGGCTGGTGGAGTGGTTCAAGTGGTAGGGTGCTTACCTAAAAAGTATGAGGCCCTAGGTTCAAATCCCAGTACTGCCAAAAAAGAAAATAAATAAAATAAAATGGTGCATGGTAGTGCTGAAGTACTGTCTAGTGTTTCTAAACACAAGAAGAATGTGATGCACTTTATAAGAAAAAATGTGCATAAGATGTATATGTATCGTATGTGTATAAGATGCCTCATTCAGGTATGAGTTAGAGCACTGTTGGTTGCAAGTTCAATGTTACTGAAGCAACAATATATGTTAAGTAAGGTGTTTTTACTCCATAACACACATTAAAAAAATTATGTATGATCAACTGATGAAAATGTTGTGACCAGAGCCTCAAAGGAACTTAACCTTCTATGTCCCTTAGGAGCAGAGGGTTCAGTATAGGTTAATTCAGTGTTCACAGTAACTTTATAGAACGTAACTACTGAAAATAATGAGAATCAGCTACATATGTGACTGCATTTAAACAGTGAAGAAAATATTATCTTGGTTCGATATCAAGACAAGGATTTAACCACAGAGCTCTAGGATAAAGTGTAAGCAATTTGTTTTTATTGACCTTAGTTAAAAAGAAAGAGTTCAGTATTTTTTAAGTAGTATGTTTCAGGGGACATACCTAATCTATTGGAAAGCCATCTTTCTTTCTACTAGGACCCTACTAACTACATCTTCTGTAGCTTCTCTGAGGCTTCAGCTAAATTTTCCAAACTAACTAAGAACAGCCTCATAGGATGCAGTGAAAATAACACATGTTGAAATCTACACTCTTGTCACAGACCACATCGTTACCTTCCTGTCCCTTATTACCCCCAAACCAAACAAAGCAAAACCTTGAGGTGCAACAGGAGAGCAGAAGAGTCGAGACCCACTGACTGAATCCTGGTGATGAGTGTGAGGCGGGGCGGTGTCCTTGGCATGCAGGGGTCTGCCTGCATCATTCCATTTGACTTTTGCCTCCTTCAAGCTTGGGGCTGTGTTGCTAGCAGCAAGTATGCTGACTGAAAACTGTCACAACAGCGATCATTGCAATCCGGGAGTTGAGTTTGACTGGAACATATGTCTTCAATTTTAATAGCTCAGCTTCCCAGATGCCCTAAAGGAGAATATTGCCTGAGAAGGAGCTTTTCATGTAAGAATAATTTGTGTTAAGTAGCTCAGTGATCTGTTTGTTAGGTTAGAGCTGACAGTTTGTTTATATTTCTAAAGGGGTATGATGAATGGGGGAGAAGTTGATGCTAATTAGCCTAAATTGTTCCTAAGAATGTAGAGGGCTTTGCCAGTTTCATTGTTTCTGTTTCTTTGCACATTTTAAATAATTGAATGGAGCTCAGACCATTCATCATAATTTCAGGCAAGATGGAAATAAATGAATTTAGCACAGGTCCACATGTGTGATGGAAGATGTCACTTTAAAGGGCAATTAGATAAGACATCAACTTGGGGCTAATGCAGACTACTCTAATCTATTTACATAAAAATATCAAACATGAACGTTTTCATTTACTCCATTAATTTTCTCTGTCATCATAGGAGAATATATCTTTTCTTTTTGAAAACCTACTTCATTAAAGTAGTAGTGCTGTGATACCAAATTTGAGCCCTTGGCTTCTGGACGAAAGAGCTGTGGCTATACTCTCTAAGAAAGCCTTCTCCGCTTCCCTGATGCCATCAAATGGCTCAAAGGAACTCGTTTGAGGATGGGCTCAGCACTTGGCCAGGTGAACAGTGACAAAGGAAGCAAACCAACATTTTTGAAAGCTGGAATTCATATATTAATGTGAATTTCACAGTAAGCTAATATACCAGTGGTGCATATTTGAGTATTTCTCAAGAGTTTTCCTTTATTTATTTCCTATATATGTAGGGATTACATACACAGTAACACAGTACTAAACCTAGTATGTACCTTCTGAGTTGACCAGGCACTTCCTGTAGGTACTTAGGTGAATGTGAATGGATTAGTTCATGAGAAGGTAGAAAAATATGTGTTTTGTGAACATTTATATTGAACGTTAAAGTAAAAAAATTGAAATTAAATTTAGAAAGTCTATGTTTTCTCAACTTTTAAATTCTCATTGGAGGACATTCTTTTTTAATTTATGCACATAAAATACCACAGGAAGAGATGGTATAAATTTGTGGACTGTGGAGAATGAGTGAACATTTTTGAATCAGGATCTTTAAAAGGGGTGAAATTTGAGTATGATTAAGTTAGGAAAAAGCCTCGCTTACAGCGGAAGTTAGAGACTCTGTATACATTATGGGCATGTCATGGCTTTTAAAAAGTTATGTTAGACTTCTATACAAATTGTGAAGGAATTTGTATAACCCCAAACAAAATTCTGTGTGGTTCTGAACTTTTCCTAAGTAGGGAAGAGAGGGATGGAGAGAGAAAGGAGAGAGGGGAGAGGAGAGAGGAGAGAGGAGAAAGAGGAGAAAGGAGAGAGGGAGGGAGGAGAGAAATGAGAGAAAAGAGGGGGAAAGAGGAGAGAGGAGGAAAGACGGAGGAAGAGAGAGAGGAGAGAGAGAGAGATTGAGAGAGAATATGCTGGTTGGTATTCTGACCAGTGGGCTGGTCTTACTCTGCCTGAGTATTTTTTTGGTAACTAATTTTCTTGAAAGGAAATGATCCTATGGCCTATGCAAGCTACATTTGTGCATATATGCTCTATAATTGACATTTATTAAAGAGACCTTCAGTTTGATGGATGACTGTCAGAGCTGTGCCTGCTGACTTTGAGGAGAGCTGATTTTGCTCGAGTTTTGTTACATCAACTCATTAGAACTCTGCATTGCTTCAAATCACTCCTTGTTTACTTTCCTATAATTAAGATTTTTGAACAATTGATTTTCACAGACTTGGCAGGGGCCCACTCTTCACTTGGAGACTTAGCCTGACAGAAAAATATGCAACAGAATAAATATTCACAGTAAGAACCTGTGAGTATTAAAACCAAGGTTTTTGTAGTTTTTCAATTAGCCGTCCAGTTAATTAACTGCTTACAAATATAAAGTAGTTTATTAATTATCTTTATATCATTATCCTCCTTGCTACTTTCTTTAAAAAGTCTATAAAGAACTTTTGTTCTACAGAAGCAACAGCTGCAGAAATATTTTCAAATGAGAGTTTTTAAAATTAGAGCCTGTGTGTATTGTGTTATATTAGCAATAATGAAAGAAAATAATTAGGAAAATGGAAGGCTGTCTGAATCTAAAGATACATTTTTAAGAAATAATGTACACTACATATGTATTTAAATATTTGTAAATAACAAATAGATTACAATTGTGTTTTTCATTTTATTTTTATTGTATTTATTTATTTTTCTTCTTTTTTATTGTTGTGCTGAGTGTGGGTACATTGTAGCATTCACAAAAGTTCTTACAATGCATAAAATATATCATATTTGAATTCACTCCCTCCATCCCTCTCCTTTACCCACCCCCCCATTCCTGAGATAGTTTCAATAGGTATCATTTTTGCATTTACAGACATGTGTACACAGTATTTGCACTATATTCAACTTCTTACTCTCTTTCCCTTCCACCTCCCCCCTACTGGTACTGACTTGTATTTTTCATTGTATAATAGGAAAATCTCAAAACCAATGGTGGCACATTTAAAGTTAAAAGTGGTATTTTGCTTTCCTTTTTAAACCCCAAAGAAAATATCGAGGAATATGGCAAAAATGAGATCTCCTTTTCCTATACGCATTGATGGGTGAATCACATTTCCTGTCCATCTTAAAGTGCCTCTCATTCACAGCCTGGAGAAACACCACATGGTGATCATTTATTTCTTCAAATGTTTTTAAGTTTACCGTATCAAAAAATAAACCTTGAGGGGAAAGGACACACTTTTACAGAAAGTAAACATGGTTAGAGAGTGTTTGTACCAAGATAAAGGACTCTCCATGGTTGTCTCTTTTCTGGCTTGTTGTAACTAGCTGCTGAGCTGATTTTCTGTGAGGTTTATTTACCAAAGATGGTAGCTTGGTGAGTAAATGCATTCATTAGGTCATTCCAACATTAGGATGAGTGACAAAGGAAAATAAAATAAAGAATGAATGAAGAGCAGAAAAGAAATGACATCTATTTTTATGAAAATGAATACTGTCCTGGGTGATAATTTGCAGTTAGAGTTCTATGTAATGAGTTCTTGAAGTAATTTTATAGGTCATGTTATTGCAGATTAATACTAGGTCTGTGGACTATCCTTCACACAAGGAAAAGGAAAAGGAAACTCAGTTGGTTTCAGGTTACAGATAATTCAAGAGTTCTTACTCTCTAAAAAGAACTTGAGTTGGCTGAACAATATTTGACTTCCTTGCCAGTGAAGACAATCTTTTAAGTTTAGTGACGAAATTGATTCATTCGTATTTCATTCAGATGATGGAAAATACAACTAATTGGCTTCTTCTTTGGTTCATGGTCTTCAGTAGTGTATTGAAAGTTATTATTAGATTAAAAAAATGAATTCACAGGTCAGAACTTCTTTTATTGTGGAGGAAGCTGGCAGTCATCAAAAAGGCCATTAAAAATCAGTTTAGTGAAGAAATATGTGACTGCTTAAGAAAAGCGTCTAGTCTAAGCTTAGCAGGGGGGCCATGGACCCCTTTATTTTCTCCTGAGTCACAACAGTATAAGAAAATAATCCTGCATCTGTTAGGCTCCTGCAAAAATTTTCCCTTCAGAAAGTCATTAATTTGGTCATGCAAATAAAACATAATTATACATGGAGAGCCTGAAGCTAAAATAGTCTTCCCATTAATTTTATATTAAAATGTGTGAGATTATATCTTTTTATTTTTAACTGATAAAAATAGGGATAAGTAAGACTTTAATTTCAAATGACCTTTTCCTTTCATCCTAAAAACAATTGCTAAAACTTTTTTGACAGTATTCTATACAAGTACTGTTGTAAGAACTCTACATGGATTAACTCATTAATCATCAAAATCTCTTGATGTGTGTATATTATTATCTGCATTTTAAAGGAGAAAAAACCTGCGATATAGTGAGGATAAGTGACCTGGCCAAGATCAAATAACTCGTGAGTGGTAGGTTGGATATTTGAATATAGACATTCTGACTCTTCTCTGAAGATTTTTATATAGGCTGAATGTCTATATTCAGGGCTCTACAATGCAGCCTTTAGCTTGGTTGAGTAGTTGAGGATTCATACACAAACATATAAATTCATTGAGTGTATCATTCAGAAGACTCTTTGGAATGATTTTCCAAAGAATATGTCATGTTGAGAAGCAATTTATAGAATTAATATTATATTAACATACCTATACATGCATTAATTCTCTTTTACCTTAACTTTCATATCCCAGCATACAACTACAAAAGAGTTGAGGGTTAACAGTGTGCTCAAGTTTATGCTATGTGTGATTATCACATATCAGAGGAATGGATTGACCTATGGCAACATGACTGCTTACCCAAACAGTTGTAACCAAGTTCTGCCTTGTTTTAAAAAAAAACAACCATTATTTTGCCAACGAGATAAAGCAACACCAATATAAAATCTATGCCCCAAGGAGTAGTTTCTATAAAAATTTGTCAAGCTTTCAAAAGTAAGTATTTTGAAATCTGTTTTACAAACTCCAGCAATATTTAGGTTCAATAAAGGAGGCTGGTTTTTGTTCACTAGACTGGAATAATGGTTTCTGGAATAATCTAAGCCTTAGGAAAATTACGTGGGTTTTTTGGTTTTTTTTTTTTTTTTTTGTAACTTTAAGAAAGGGGCATCGCAAAGTGAAGTGAATTATAGCTCATAAAGCTTACTGAAGATAATGCAAAGATACAAAATGTCACATGTATATTTTTTATCTTAAATTCAAAGGGATTTCAATTGTCCTGACATCTTTAAAGTTTCTAGCAGAATACAGTGCCTGTATACAGGAGGTACTCTGATGAAGAGGAGAATGAGAATCAATGTGTTCATTTCATTGTAAAAACAAAAAAATCCCAAAAATAGTTCATAAAGATAAAATCACATAAATTTTTAAGCAAAGAAATATAACTAGTAGGTATAACTTTTAGTGTTCAGTGAGATTAAATTTAATCAATTTAAAAATTGACTAAATATTTACTGTGCATTGAGAATACAAGGGTGAACAAGACAAATAACTGTAATGAACCAACATTCTAGTGAAGCTGACAGCAATGAACAAACAAATAATATGACAGAACTCAGAGTTCTGAAGAGCCAGGCACAGTGGCTCAAGCCTGTGATCTACTTGGGAGACAGAGATGGGAAGGAACAAGGTTTCAGGCCAGCTTAGGCAAAAAAGTTTGCAAGACTCCATCACAATCAATGGCTGGGCACAATAGTACACACCTATCATTCTCAGCTACAGAAGGAGGCACAAATAGGGAGATCATAGTCTAGACAAGCCCTAAATCAAGAACCTATCTCAAAATTAACTAAAGCAAAAAAAAAACTGGAGGTGTGGCTCAAGTGGTAGAGCACCTCCCTTGCAAACGTGAGGTCCTGAGTTCAACCCCCAGTGTAGTGAAGAGGGAAAAAATTGTGAATAAAATAGAGGGGGTAAAGCAATAGACAGTGGGGCAGAAAGTGAGTTCATTTAGGGCTATGGAGTAGTGTTTATTCTAAGTAGAGTAGTTAGGAAAACTTTTCTAAGGTGCTAATATCTAAGGAAAAATCTCAATAAATAGGAGCATCAATGGCATTTCTAGTATATTTGACTCCTGGGTAAATAATTTTTAACACCTCACTCCTCTTCAAGAAAAAATATTTTTATTTTTAAAATGTTTCCTTTCTTTCTTTTTTTTGTGGTTCTGGGGATTAAACTCAGGGCCTTCACTTTGAGCCATTCCATCAGCCCTTTCTTATGAAGGTTTTTTTTTTTTTTTTGAGATAGAGTCTTGCGGAACTATTTGTTGGGGCTGGCTTCAAACTGAGATCCTCTGGATCTCTGCCTCCTGAGTAGCTAGAATTACAGGCGTGAGCCACTGGTGCCCAGTTAATTTTTTTTAATGTTTTTAAAATTATTTTTGTACTGAGGGTACATTGTGACATTTACAAAATTTCTACAAAATATCATAGTTGAACTCATCTCCTCCATCATTCTTCTTTATCTCCCCTCCCCTATTCCTGGAATAGTTTCAACAGTTCTCATTTTTTTCATTTACAAAAGAATAATAATGGGCAAGAAAAAATGAAAAGAGAATTTGTTGAACTTCATATTATGTTATCATGCTAGTTATAAAATTACTTTTAGGATAAAAATTAAAAAGGGAAAAGTAATAGACTTTTAAAATTATATCATTATATTTTTTATTAAGTGGGTTAAAAGAACACTTACATGGCTTGCAGTTTGCACTGTTTCACTGTTTTAGATCTCTTCTCTCATACACAACATACATACATGAACTTTAAGATATACCATTTATTCATGTGTCATTCAATTCACTATTAAAGTGTACGATTCAATGGTTTTAGTATATTTACAGAGTTGTGCAGTTATTATCACAATCATTGTTGGAATATTTTTCACCACCCTCAGAAGAAAGCCCATATCTTTTAGCAATCACCTCTGATTCCTCCATTCTGCTCTTTCCTCCCCAGACCTCAGAAATCACTTATTACTTTCTGTATCAATAAATTCACTTATTTTTGACATTTCACATATGTATATATGGTGATTTGTGACTGCCTTCTTTGGATTACCATAATGTTTTCCATGTTCATTTATGTTGTAACATGTACCAGGACTTCATTTTTTATTGCTCAATAATATTCTGTCATATGAATCTACTATCTTTTATTTATCCATTCATCCTGTGATGGATATCTGGGTTGTTTCCACTTTTTGGCTATTATAAATGTTTGTGTACAAGTTTTTGTGTGGGCATATGTTTCATACCTTTGGGGCATATACATAAAAGTGGGATTTCTAAATGAATGGCAGCTCTGTGTTCAACCTTTTCAGGAAGGCTCTGGGTGGTTGCATCCCTGTTATTCCCAACAGCAGTGCGTGAAGACTGCTACTTCTCCATACCCTTGGCAACATTTCCTTATCATATTCATCCCAATACGTATGAAGCGGCAGTTCACCATGATTTTTGTTTGCATTTCTCTGATGGCTGATGATGTTAAGCCTGTTTTTGTTTTCTTTTTGGCCATTTATATCTTTTCATTCCTCATTTTAATTGTTATTTGTTCTTTTGGTTTTGAGTTATGAATTCTTCATATATTCTAGTAAAAGTCCCTTATCAGTTACATAATTTGTAAATGTTTTCTCATGTTCTATGGGTTGTCATTTCATTTTCTTTTCTGGTGTCCTTTGATGAAGTCCAATGTCCTCATTGTTGTTGTTGCTATTGGTGTCTTATCTAAGAAACCATGGCCTAATCCCAAGGTCATAGATTTATCCCTGTGTTTTAAACTCTTACATTTAGGTCTTTCCTCCATTTTGAGTTGATGTGAGTTAAGGGTCTAGCTGTCTTCTTTTTTGCATTTGGATATCTAATTGGTCAAATACCAGGTGTTGAAGAGATTGTTTTTCTTCCATTGAATTGTTTTGGCCCCTTTGTCAAAAATTAATGTGTATTTGGAGGTTCAAATCTATTCATTGACCTTTGACTGCCTTATGCCAGAACTACACTGTCTTAATTGCTTTGCAGTAAGTTTTGAATTAAGAAGTGTGAATCCTCCCACTTAGTACTTTTTGTCTATTCTGGCTTCCTTGAATTTCCTGTTTTAAATCTTGAATACAAATAAAATTCTAAGAAGTCACATAGAATGACAGAACTGACATAACTCAAGTTTTGTTTCTTCATCTTTATAAGGACTGTGCCTGTGCCACCCCAGTTTATTTTGAATCTGTTGTTTGAATCAGGGATATGTAGTAACACAAGGATTGGAAACACAAACTGTATCAAAAACCATGTATACTTACTTGAATCTACTAGGAACTTAGTTTTAAAATAAATGCAAGTATTTATGACTGTCTCTTGCGGGCCAACTATATAAGCGTGAATTCTCCAAATTAACTTCTATGTGGAATATAATGTTTATTAGAGAACAAGAAACAAAACATTTTTGGGTGGAGCAATGTTTTATCACTAACAATGTTTAATATTCCTGGTGCATAGTAATAAATACAAGTACATATTTAGTTTTACTACTGTTTTAAAATTCTCTACTGACAATACATCTCAAAATTGCCTGCATGCAGGGTGAATGCCCCTACCAGCCCGTCCTTAGGATGACACCAGGAGGAGCAAATCATCTGAGGAAGAGTTTCCCAAGACAAGGGAGCAGAAATGTTAAACCCTTGCATCACAAGTGAGCTTGAGATTTTTTAAGGAAGAGAGGTCATGATTGTAGTTGGAGCGGAGAAGTGGAGGTTTGAAGAGATTAGCAGCAAGGGCAGCTAGGACCACTATATGATCTGGGGTCCAACCAGCGGCACTATTTAGAGTATAAGAGATCACTGATAATAATTATGTCATGACCACAGACTTAATGGGACTGTCCCAGGAGAATTAGAATGAATAGGACGTAGACTTAAGTACCCACAGAATCTAAAAAAGACAATAGTGATAAGGACTAAAAAATATTAAATGCAAGCAAGCAATAATTTGGTACAGCACCATTAGCAATTCGTGAATTAGGTAGACTGAGTAGTATGTATAGTGTAGTGGTTTAGAGAAGTACTTATCAAACTTCAGCATACATTAGAATCACATGGTAGGCTTGGTAAAACACCAAGTGTGTGGGGAGGCTGGAATCCACTTCCCCAAATTATAATTCAATTGCTTTTTCATTTCTGACAAGCTCCCAGGTGTGGCTGATGCTACTAGACCATGGAGGACTGACTGCAAGGAGCATGGGCTTAGGCTTCAGAGAATGGACTCTCAATTCAGGGTTGGCTTAAATTTTCAACTTCTTGGGTGCTAACTGTGTAACTATGGACAATTAAATATAGTAGTCTCTCTTTTATCCATAGTTTTGCTTTCCAAAGTTTCAGTTACACCTTGTTAACTGCATTTCCACATTATTATTTATCTTGTCTATAAGAAAAAGATGATATTTACACAAATTTTATTAAAATATATTGTTATAATTGTTCAACTTTATTATCTTATCTCCTAATCTCTTACTGTGTCAAATTTATAAATCAAAATTTATCATAAGTATGTAGGTATAGGAAAAACATAGTGTATATAGAGCTTGTTGCTCTCCATGGTTTAAGGTATCCACTGGGGATCTGGAATGTATCCCTGATGGATAAGAGGGTTCTACTATATCCTTTCCACATCTCTTCTTCTCATTAGGTAAAATGGGGTTTGTAATCATTGCCTTATATAAACATTATAAAGGGTCAATGAGTTAAAACAGTTGCAATTGTGCCTAGCATTACTATAAGTGGCAAATATGTATTATTATTATTAAAAAGAAGAAATTAAGGTCATACTCATTAGATTCGATAAAGCTGTCTTAGATAAACATGTTTCAGATATTGTATTATCAATCAGTACTAGTCGTGCAAGCTATAACTACATATCTTAGAATGACAAATCAACACCTTGCAAATAGTAGACT